GAACAATAACTGTGTAGGTGCTGTGCACCGGAAGGCTATCATGCCTTTCTCAGCAGGTAATTGACCTTCTAGCCTGGTATTCAGGACCATCATTTAGCTTACTATCCTTATATCATGAATCTTTTACTTGTCACCCAGTCCTGGATTGTCTATTAAGATATATGGCTCAGATAAGACTTCTCAAAACAAAATCTGCTCAGAAGTACCATTTCATTTTGCTGTAGGCTCCCATAGTCCAGGCAGAGCACCACAAGTGCCAACTTATTAGCCACACTGGTTTTGAGGTCGGCGTGTAACTTCTCCTAAAGGAATCAAAACAACTGTTTCCCATTTTCCCATTCCTAAATGAGGAAAAATCAGTTCAGCACAATTTGCAGAAACATCTTCACTTGGCGCAATTATTGTGAATTTGTTTGCCAAATGCTAAGACTGATGACGTGCTGTGACAGCACCAATGACTGCGCTGACAGTGAAGGCAGAAGCCAGTTGGTTTGAGCAAGATGGGATCAGGCAGGCTGGCCACCTGTGTTTTGTGGAACAGGCCCCTCCTCAGATGTTTCTGTGCATTAAAGCAGTTGACACATCCATGAATTTCCGTTGGCTAAAACAGCTGGCAAGACACCAAACGTGTTTCTCTAGACAGTAGGTTTGGTGCATCTCAGCGGCGGAGTGCCTGGTATTTTGCTTGAGGAATGGGAAAATGCCAGCTGGGTAATTGAATCCTAGGGCTGAAAGACTGACAAAAATAGCCTTGAAGTGCAGAAATCAGTGCTCACGAAAATTAATAGCCAGGCTCCCTTGATATCAGCTGGGATTTGCGAGCGAGCAAATGCGGAAAGAGTTTTCTATCTGGGTGAAGGAACCGCTCAACAAGGACACAAAGGGGCAAAGAGTGACTTTGCTTTATGAGCTGAATGTGAGTCACAGGGGCAGAAGCAGTTTCTGTACAAACTCCACTGAACCAACACGCACTTCAGCATGGTACTTTCACCATGATCTACAGCTACTGGCAAAAGAAAAAGGGAAAGGGACTGAAAGCAAAGGAGAAAGATAAAAATACATTCTTGGCAGAGACTGTCTGTGAGCTTGTGTTTAGGATGGGCAGCACGCAGCATGCCAACTATTTCCAAGATGCCTTAAGAAGTAAGGTTATGACTTCCCAGAAGGAAAATTCATTTCTTGTTGTTGTTGCTCTTGTGGAACAGAGAAATAACCTTGTTTCTACCCTGTTCAGTGGTCTCTAGTTAGTGTAACAACAGGTACAACATCCACCCCTGATGTGAGCCCAATGGTTACAAATAAGGTAGGACAACACGATAATGGATCTCACAGCCCATTCCGTCCTACTTGTGACATCTTCTGCTAAACTGGAATCAAAATACATAGAAATTCAAGGCTATTTTCTACGATTCTATTTTAAAGTGGTGTTTTTTAAAATGTTTGAGTAACAATAATACCAGTAAAGCAGGCTATTTTCGAAAGCACCAAAGGATGATGACTTTGACAAAACTTCATCCTCTCAGCAAAATTTCTGCTTGGTTCAATGGCTTGTAAAAATCACCTGGCAAACAAGTAAATGTGAGTCCTATGTGTGGTACTGGCATTGCCCTGCTCTTCCCCACCAGTTCTCCCAAAGCCCCCTTCACAGGCAGCTGAAAATATTATTTTAGTGCTTGTTAAGACACAGAATCACTGCAACTGTATTTCAACAACATCATTCACAACCAAAGTGGAAAGGCAAGGGATATACAGATAAAGTGATTAAATACAAAAACTCCTGCCAGTTTCATATTCGGTTAAGGCATGTGCAGTAAGGTATTAGCATAATTACTATCTGCAAGTAGTATATACACAGGGAAGAAAAAGGTGATATACAAATAGTATCACATTATGGTTACTGTTAAATTACACTACAGACAGATTTTCCTCTCTACGCTGTCATTACAGCTTTTGAACACACCTGGATGTGTTTAAGAATGAGACTCCCTTTTCATTTTTTTAAAAGCAGTAAGTATTTTCCTTATGACGATGTAAAAAATAACGCCAGTATTTTAATTCAAAACACCAAGCTAGCTCTGTATTATTAACTAAGCCAATTAACTGTTGCACGCTAAGCCCTGCGTATATCATACAGAGCATTTGGCTTCCAGTTACGTTTTAAGCCTGTAAACTGATCTTAAGGATTGCTTGACCCCAGAGTTCTTTTAAGTTTGATCTTTCCCTCCCAGGTTATAAACTGTCTTCTCTTGGCCCATGTGAGTGCTCTAGCTGAAGTCCCTGGAGAGCCTCTCATTTTTGCAAAAAGCACTGATTTATGTGACAAACACACTTATCTATCTCACAACCACAGGGAGAGCTTTATCCACGGTATTGTTCTCATAATCTTACTTCTACAGAAGCTGCATGAGCTAGATGATCCCTGCTGGTGGCTAGATTTAGAAAGAAAGTGATGAGCTTTTATGCATACATTTTGTTAACCCAATCAGTGGCTGTCTTTCTAGCTAAAAAATGCCCAGAAGGGTGTGTTTCTCTACAGCCTTAAAAAGCTGGGATAGGCAGGACACACAGTGTAAGAGGGCTTTTGCAAATCCTTGTCTTCTGAGTCTCCTTCAACCTCTCACCTCTCAGTATCGCTGCTGAGGAATTAGGAGTTCTTCTAATCTGCTTTGGCAACACTCATTTGACAGGCCCCTGGAGCAAGCCTGAAATATCTTTTGGAGGTTCAGTTCATCATTTGATCTTCCTATGGTCTGGATTAGTCATTAACCTTGAATTATCCACTCTACCTACTTGCCTAAGACTCCCACATTTTCTAGGAAAAAAAAAATTGTGTACAGCACTACATACATAAACTCAGGGGAGATGAATGTCTGCAAATGAAGATGTGTAGCTAAGGATTTGGGAAAAAATGCCATGAAGATAAAAAGGGTCAAGTCTGAAGGATGGGGTGGAGGAGTGCAATCAAAAGACATGAGATCAGTTTCCAGAGATTTGTAGCCTCTTATAACATTAAGCCATTACATGTTCTAGCATAAATATTGCAGCCCATTAAATTTCACCTGGTTATTTCTGTCTTGAGCCCTACAGAAGACCAGGATCTGCAAGTTGGTTCTGTTCCACTAACTAAACATCCGTGACATATTTGTGCCCACAACCTACCGGGATTGCATTACTTGTGTTCCCTCCCCAGTGCTACAGTGGAATTAACTTCCCTGCTTCCACAGTAATAGCTTGGATGTGGCCAAAGATGCATTTTCTGTAACTTTTCTGGGTTTATTAAACCTGTTTGCTTAGAACTACAACCAGTTAAGAGCCTGTACTACTGCTGAACAAAGGATCAGAGGAAATTTGCTACTAAAGAAGACATAGCTAGTCTGAAAAGAACTTGTGACAGAAACTCAAGTAATCTGAAGGTTCTATTTCCTACAGATTTTATTGAATGCTTTTGTTTTAACGTACATCATTGCAGTTATGTACAGGTGAGGATAACTCCCTGTCTAGGCAGCAGTGGTTTTCTTTAGCACCAGTTTGTGATGCAAAATCATGTCAAAGCCACGCTTGAGTCACCTGGGTGAAACTGTGGTTCTACTGATGTTAAGGCAAAACTCAGACCAACTCGCAGCAGGGCCAGGATTTCACATT